CAAATTATTTTTTGTTTAATAATATTTTGGTTATTGCATAATTTCATATATCTTATTTTATAGTTTTGATGTTTATAATTATTCTAAAATGTAGAGAACAGTACAAATAAACTTTTCTATGGGTAGGTGTGTCCAAACTTTTAACTGGCACTGTACGTGAATTGTGAATATTCTGAATGTTCACTGGATAAGTGTGGTGTGTCCATTTGGCTCTGAGCTGTTTCTTATCTCTTATAAATTCTCTCTCCTGGGGATATTATTAATAAGTTTGGTGTTTACAACCAGGCTGGGCCAATGACACGTAATTTTACGTGTCTATTAAACGCAGTCAAATATGTCACCCCTCTAAAATGGAAGCTTGTATAAAGGACAATTGGGTTTGGATGACACAGCACTTCCATCTGCTCAACTCTGATAACAAGGAGATAATGGCGGCAGGTCCAGAGTCAATTAGATATACAACCTCAGACTTGCGGAAAGCCGGTCTGGCTGGTTTCGGAATTACTATGGAATCTGCAGGAAATTACATGGCAGACACAATAACGGAAACATTTCATGTTCACATAAATCTCTTTATGGCTTCTGTAGGATTGATGGAACACCATGAAAGATACAGATTTGTGAATTCAGGGCTAAATTATATTAACAGTATCCTAACTACCCTCTCGAGTTTTCTCCTGTATTGTCTCCAACCTTAACAGCATACCATTACAGAAATTCATGAAGTAGTGCAGACTGTTTTTGCTCACCTACCTGTGTTGAATCCATGGGTGTAAATTATGTGTGGACCCCCTTAAATGGGTGGAGACCTCACTGTTCAGTAGAAATCACAACAAAGCCTTCTCATACACCCATACAGGGCATCTGGAGCTCTGTATTCAAGAAAATGTAAACATGCTGCATCATTATGGCTTGACTTGAAAGATGCAGTGCTGAGAATGGATCTTGACCATACAGTTCTTGGAGAGACAACCAGTCAAGATAAACAACCAGTCTATGGATTCAGCTTCCATAATTAAAGACCATCGCTAGAGATTAGAGATATATGCATGGTCTATGATTTGTAAATTCAATTTCAATTTCCTTATTGTAAACAAGCTATTTTAAATCTAATTTGGTTCATTAGATGACTGATAGATTCATAAGAGACTCAGTTGATCCTAAATGAGACACTTTATAAAGTGGTCCCTTAATTTGAATTTATACACCAATACTCAAAGTGCATGAACCTCTGAGTCCAACAGTATGATATCTTATTTATGTACAACATTATTTGTCTGGTAAGCAGCTCCTTTTATATAAAGCAGTGTGCACAAACATCTGTACCTGCATTAGCTTATTCTCTTGTATTTTGTTTTCTGTTCATCTTCACATTTTTGGAAGAACTGAAGAAAACCGACAAAAACAACGACAAACTGCAACAACAAAAACATTCAGGCTAACTTAATCTCTGTCGGGCAACCACGCTGATGTCACCTTCTCTATTTCGTAATGAAAGACAATGTTACTCCAGTACATGACTGAAAAAATATCAAGATGAAAATTACTGCAGTGCTACATGGGAAAATAATGAGAGGTGAAAACTGTCAGTTTCACACTGTGATCTGTAATTTGGCGGTCCTGCTCCACAATGACTGGTACAGTATGCAGGTCTGACAGTAGTCTGAGCTCTCAACAGGTAAATTGGGTATGTCAAGGTTTTGCGATTAAACGTGGCATGAATGCTGCTCACAGAAGAGTAGGAGGAGTCAAGATTGTGTGCAATCTGCTAATATAATTTAGTCCTTGTTTATATGCAGTGTGCAAATCTTACAATACACCATATACCCAATTAGCCACTACTTACCGCTTTGTGTTGGATTAGTTCCAGCCATGTTCGTAATTAATTAGGCTTAAGTTTCATCACGTTTCAGCCAGGAGTTTATCAAAGTAAAAACGACTATGTTTTTGTTTTCGAATACGGCGGTTACATAAGATTGCATAACCCACTTCATGTACTTGCTGCTCCGCCTGGGAAGGGCTCAAAAAGAGGGGATAAAATATGATAATATGAAAGAATAATATGAAATATGGAATGATGAGAGCGCAGGGGAGCACTGGTGCGTTTAATGAACAGGGCTGAGCGTAGTGCCTTCGCAGTACGGGGTTCCGAAGTCCAAAATACAGGTACCCCTATGCCCACGTCTTACTAAGCAACCACCACAACCGTGGGAAAATGGTAACTCGTATCCGTTTTTTCTCCTGCATTATCCGAAAATAACCATTCCTCTCTAGCAGTACAAGAGCAAATACGATCCTTTAATCCATGCACCCAACGCCGTGCATTATGTCTGATGAAAACAAGAAAAAAATCTATTTAATAATTCGGGCGTTCTCGTATATCAGTTATATTGAAGTATTTTTTTAATCGGTGTTTTGTGCAACAGTGCTTAATTCTGACACACCGCGATTTATATAGACAATCCGTCTTAGTTCGTTTTCGTGTATATTAGATATTACAATACTGGGTGAAACTAAATGCTCATAATCCAATATCTACCGCTTATTCTATAGCATCGTATTCTTTAAATGTCCAAATGAAGTGTTGAATTCTGGTTACTGTGGCGACGAAAACGATTTTAAATAGCCCGTCAGAAATCAAATCAAGGATCGGATTATATGGTTAAAAAACAAGAAAGACTATAAATAAGCTACAATCGTGTATCAACTCAGGTATTTGTACCGTGCTTTGGTAATGGCTTACAATGTACGCCATAGGTTTATTTCAACCCTTTTAATTTTCGTCGGAGGTCAGAAACCACTTGTTAAAACAGTTTACCTCTGGGCGCGCTTCCACATGAGGTTTATCCCGTCTTTAAAACTTGATTCACTGCAAAAACGTGACTTGGTTACTGATTGCTTTAACCATTCGGCGTCTTTCAGATTTTTCAGAAAATCATACATACCTGTTTATTACCCTAGTTTTCAGCTTTTGCTGCAGAAAGGCGTATTGCCAAACGAGATTTATTCTCCTTTATTTCCAAAAGCCTTTTTGTCCAGCGTATGTGCATACTTGTTGGACACATATCTTTAAAAAGATATAGCCTATACTTCAAAGAGTATATAAAACAGTTAGGTATGATATGCAGGTCAGCGCTCAGTATAGTCAGCCTGCTAATATTTCTAATTTTACAGATTTAAAATGATTTGAATATTAATTAATTAATAGGAATTCATATTGCAAAAAGCCAAGCGTAGTAATGATTAGCAACATCTTCAGATGACTGTATACGGCGAACGGAAGTGGCCCGTAGGAATCGGTCCCTGTTGTAATGCGCACCCACACGAGAGCGCTGCATGCACACCTGTACCAGCCGTAATGTGCCACTGCTCGCTATATACGTGACATCCAAGAGGTTGTCTCAGCATAAACAATGACTATTCTGCCTTTTTCCCTTACACGGTTGATGGCTACTATAGGCATCGGCGTTCGTTTTTTCCCAGCGAAGGAATACGTTTTGCTATAAAATATATCGGAAATTACTGTTCGGAAAATCCTTGGGAAACAGAGCTGTCCATGGTTCCAGTTCCAGGGGGCTGAAAGGAAATCTGCGATCTAATAGACTTAGCCGAACAATTAAGGGGTATTTCCGTGTCGTATTTTCTCGCAAGAAATATCCTTTAATTGTAAGGCTAAGAATATCGTCTTCCTCTTCTTTCTTTTCCTCAGAATCTTCTGTCAAATCGTCTGCTGCCCACCGGACAAGGAAAGAAATAGGCTACACCGTGTATTTTGAAGTTTCCCCCCTGTTTTTGGTACCCTGTTCCGTAGTTTATACCAGAGTCCTATGACCTTCATTTATCCACTGTGATTCAGTTAATTCGTTTATTTACAAGAAATCGAGTCATTTTATGTAGGCAAAGTCTTAGAAATAAAATAATGGTAGACACAGCAATTCAGCATGGTAATTTAGGGATGAAAATGTGTAGGCTATATGTCGACTAGACGCTCACAAAGTTCATTGACCATAATTCCTATGCATAAAATGACAAATTCGGACACAGCCTTACTTCCTTAAAATGTTTTTTCACAACTATGAGAAATGCGTACAATTTTGGGCTGAGATTATTATTAGTTTGACTGTTATGATGCTATTATTTTTCTCACCACTGTCCCATTTTAATATTTGTTCTTAATCGGCAGCAATTCTGTAAACTGTGCTGTCGCGTGTGCGGTGAAATACATACATACATGGAAAAGAGCAGCTTCTTAAGTGGTTTAGAAACTAAACCGCCGATCTCCATAGCGGTCCACCGAGCAATTGAGGAGTTTCTCAAGAAGCCTGACGGCGACACCGGGGAACCCAGTAAAGCTACATTCTTCCAGTTGTTTCGCACGCTGTCTTCCTTTGACTGATTTGATTCCTCTAGATCCACTTGTAGGACCTGGCGTATTTCCACGCGTTGCTCTTTGCGCTGCGCCGTCGTTCCATCCAGCCACTCTTGATCTCGGACACATCTGAGTCGCTTTACGCGCCACCGTTACACTTTCACCTTCATCATTAACTAACCTATAAATCCGCGATGTTAAAGCCCGATAATCCCTAGGCTTCGCCAAAAGACATTACATGGATTATTGAAGAATTTTACAAATTTACTGTAAGTTATCCACTTGCGTGCGAGCTTTGCTGGCTCATCACTGTAAGTGATCAGCTTTGAGCGTTACTGTATGTGCGTTTTCATTTTCCCACCATGCGTATTGCTGCATGCCGTTAACCCGGTCCCCAAGAAATCGGTCTCGGCTAAAAAGGCAGAGCCAGCCTCCGGGGTTAGAGCTGACCACCGTCCCCGTGTCTGCCTCCGGCTCGCAGCAGCTCCATCTCTCCGCCGTTTCTCCGGACAGCTCGGTGGTGTAGAGAGGCTCTGCAGTCACGTGGTCGGGGGAAGGGAGAGCGGCCGAGCGAGCGAGCGAGGGAGAGCGTGGGGGGGTGTCCCTCCTCCGCAGTTTGCAGTTTGTTATGTCTCAGGCGCCGTGAGCACCGGAGAGCGCCGGAGCTGGAGCGATCGTCTGATTCTTTTACATGCATCAGAAAAGCCGAGAATCTCCCAACCTTTCCTCGCAACTGTTTCCCTCTCTATATGTCAACGCCTCCCCCCATCATTTGAAAGCGTCTCCATTTTCAATTTTTAAAATTATTTTTATTATCATTTTTTTGCACACAGTGTCGACTTTTTGCCTTATAACTGTTCCTCTTTCTACGTTGTTTTATCCTCCTATCTGGATCTAACCCACGGTTGCAGAGAGCGTGGATGAGCAGCTCTGGTTTATATCGGAGATGGAATTCCTAATTGTATGCCTTTCCTTTTGGATTTTGCACTGCAATTCAGTTCGAGGGGACTCCATCATTCACATCGGTAAGGAACCTGGCAAGGGGAGAAACGGAAGAAAAGCAAACATGCGAAACAAGTCACTTAAATAGATTAAATATCACTGCCCGGTCTATTGCAACACGCATTCAAAACCAGTGCAGCGCGAGAGAGACACTGAGATGAATAGAAAATAGTAACTAAGAATGCATTGTTCTGAGTGATTTTTACTGCGATAGCCCCTCTTCCATTCACATAACCGCCGATATAGTTGAAAATATGTTTAGCGCGGTTTTTAAGGTTTAATGATGGTGTTCAGACTCTTTGGCTATATTGTTTGAAGCCGGTGCCAGATGACTGGCAAAAATGACTAAGTTCTGGTAAAACAAGGAAAAGTGCACCATCGGCAGACACGACAGATGCCCTAAGCAACAAAAGAGTAAATCGTTTTTTATTCAAAAGAAAATCAGGAAGGAGCGATTTTGTAAAGTAAGCCCTGCATTTGCTTTAGAGGATTGGCTGCCCCCTTCCCTCCCCTCCCCACCTATAAGCTTGGACTTTGTACTGAACGTGAGCGCAATATTGATAAAGGCTGGCTTATGGCTTGAACAAACGGTAACGGAAGAAATAATTATCCTCACAACATTTAATTGCATCATACGTGTCCTAACGTGCGTTTGAAAAAGGCGTGGGTAAAATGCTACGGCTTTACCTTATGTGTCTAAATATCTTGTTTCATGTCCCCCCAATCCGATTGAATGAATGGGCTTGGATTAGCCGGCACGGCTGAAGCATGGAAGGGCTGGCAAGAGAATACATTAAAGTTTCATTGAAGATGACAGTTTCAACTGTCAGCGGATCCCTATGTAATAAAATAATCTAAAGCGTTTTCAGTATAGGAAGTACAGCTTTGAGTCAAATTCCTCTACTGTAAATCCTTCACGAACTCTAATTTACAACCGCCTCCTCCCATTTTTCCTTCACTCTGTCATCTCGCTCTTTCTCCCTCTTACACACGCGGGCGCGCACACACGCGCGCACACGCACAGACACACACACAAACGCGCACACACCTGCGTGCGCAGAGGAACACATCGACATACGCGGGCACGTGCATGTGCATTTTCGGTCATTTCCCTCGCTTAGCGGGTGCTGTCTCGTGCGTCGTGTCCCCCAAGCTGAGGCCGGATTCCTCTCTCGCCGCATCCCTCTTTCACATGTCGGCGGCGGCTCCTTTAGATGCTATTAGAGCCGGCTGGACGGAAGGGAACATGCTAAGAGGTGCGAATATTAGGTAGCGGTCTACCACGAGAGTCCAGTTCCCAAACTCGGTCAAGTTTGATTAACCGATGCGGCATCGAGGGGGAATCGCAATGCCGTCAGGCAGAGGTAGATTTATTGAATATGTGTCATTTCATTACTCCCCCCCCCCCCACCAAAAAAATGTGCATATCAAAATGAACTAGGCCTATATGTTCCTGTTTTAGATGGCAATTGAGTGACATTAGACTTTACTGTCGGCTTGACAGTCCTTTCCATTTTGCTGCAGTTACTATTTTGCCGACTATTTCATTCATACAGAGCTCGCGGTAAACTGCTGTGTGGAGACTTACGTAATACCTTACGGCTTTGCTGACCCCCTGCTTAAATGTTTATACCTTTAAAGATTACGTATTACGCCTACCTACATAGTCCTTCTTATATGTTATTGCTCATTTGCGTTGTTGCTGGGCTCCACCATATGTCACCTTGTCAGAGACTCTTAATTTGAAGTTATGAATAAACGGCGAGTTGGTTCTTACTTTACTTTCAGTGCTCTAACGTTATTGGCTCCGAGTACAAAGGTAGGCTATTTGGATTTATTAAAACACCACATACAGGGAAGAACTAATCTCTGTAATATAATAATATGCAAAGACCAATTTAAGCAGTGTGGGACTAAAAGTTATACCCAGCAAATGCAGAAAGACGAATCCACAGCTTCTGGAAGATCTTTCTAAGAAGAATGTGTTAATGCTTGCCTTACTCTGTTTTGCAGTAGCCTATATTGTGATAGCAGAGATCCACGTGCTCTTCCACAATCTTAATGTGCTTAATCAAGCAAGCAGGCCAATTTTATGGGATTTTGCGGAAGCTGATTATGCCATACTGCAGTTCATGTAATGTTTGTGTTCTGCTATTTTTGTCCATGTTAAGATCGGGTACCTTTTATAGCGCTTTCCTGTCAGGTGGCTAGTGATGACATTACAATAACATGGCTCTTACTACACAACGCTAGATTATAATTCAGCGATTGATACTCTCAGCCGGATGTGGTTTTAGGAGTGACAGATGGCGGGCTAGGACAGGATGCTTAATGACAACATCAGCTGTTCCGATATAACTTGCCAAGACGTGCTTTTAATAAGAAAACACCTGTACCGTTCCGTAGAGAAATATATCGTAACCTACGACTGACTGAGTCGCTGTTAGACTGTGTGCGACACAAATGGAGATACTATATTTAACTGCTCAGTGGCAGGAGATGTCGCTGAATAGTTTGCGGCGGATGTCAGTTTTACAAGATTAAACAACCTTTTGTATCAAGATGATAGTCTGGAGTATGAAGTCATTGCAACATCCATGGAGGCTTTTATGTTTATATTTAGTGGAACTGAAAGAATTAAATTTTCTCTGTCATATCAGACTTGATGACACAATGCTTGTGTTATCTTGCGTTATTTATTTGTTATTTATTGCCTGTCTTGCGGTTCCTCTTGTCATTGTTGTCTGGCGCTTCTATTTACTGTTTTTACTTGCAATACGCTGTTAAAGTCTGCAGGAAGCTTGCGAGTGAGCATCTCATTGTGTTAAGTGTACATAGCAACAAACTTGAACCTGAACAAACTTAAGCCTGAACCTTTCTAAAAGACCAGTCAGTAATTCTTTAACAAAGCCCACACATTCTAAACCTAAAACGTTGGCGTATTCTTTTTAAATATTATTAAATATGTCAAAGAAATCAAAACATTTATTGAATAATGGCTTAAAGAAACGGAGATCGCAGTTGTGGTGCCGTCTTTGTATGTAGCTTAAAACATCCCTTGAACAAAATGTAAATGCCATTTAGTTTAATTGCCGGTGACAAGCTTATTATGAATGTATGGCTTTAATTGCAACTTGTTAATTCAAGAGTTTTATAACGTCTCTAATGAAAAGCGGGCTTCTGTCGCTCAAGAAAAACATTTTTTTCTCTCTTAGAATGAAGTGTCATGGAGCTGAGAGTCTGGGCATGAATATTACTAGGCAACAACCTAACCTGGAAGTTCCCCGAGAATAACCAGATCCCCCCCACCCCCCATACTTAATTTTGTCACGGCTTTTTGTTCCTAAAACGTAGATAAACGAATTTCAGGAGTAATGGGAAAAGCTGCGGTTTTTCACGAGTCTAAGTCCACTGAGTCAATCGGGGAAAGTCGGGGGAAAATCGGTTTGCGGGGGGATGTGCCGATTTTAGAAAGCCGCTGACCATCCAAGTCCAGTAATTGGACGGCGAGCTCAAACACTGTGGATCCAATCTGTTCTCACTGGCAAATAAAATGAACAGATGTGACATTCTCATTTCTGCTAAATAAGGTGAACATACCCATGTATACATCCACGGAATTCTAGTTTTCCATCAATTTGTCCTATTTGCCATACGCGACCCATTGTAAGCCTTGCCTTTTGGTAAGAATTAAGGTATGAATTAAGTTTACTACTAGAGCTAACGGTGCTTGTCATTTATAACAGCAGTGGAACTAGCAATATTGAATTGTGAATATTTAAAAAAATGAGCTACTACTCCAAGACTAGATGAATATCCTAAAAAAGACAACTTATCGTAGTTCGTGATAAGGAAAGGTTGGAAATAAATAGACCGAATAGGCTAAATGGTATGTCTCCAACGAGCAAACATATATTTAGACATATATTGTTAAAGATTAAATTATATTTAGATAATCCCATTTTCTAAGTACAATAAGCATATTAAATCTGTATGTCGGTAAAACCAGCTTCCATTTCGCAGACCACTTGATGAATAACTGTCAAATAACTTGGCACGGACAAAATGTTTCATCGGCTAGTAGTTAAAAATGTTTAACACATCTCTGATATTCCTTGCCTATTAAATGTACTTTCTTAGCCATGTGCGAAATGTGTGACCATTACCATGGTACCGTAGGAAACGACATGCAAACAAACAATAACTTTTCCAACAGGTGCCATATTTGAGGAAAACGCCGTGAGAGACGATGAGGTTTTCCAGTTGGCCATCTCAGATCTTAGTCTCAACGACGACATTTTGCAGAGTGAGAAAATCACCCACTCCATAAAACTTATCGAGCCCAACAATCCCTTTCAAGCAGTGCAAGAAGGTAAGCTTACTCTGGTCTTATGTTGTTGGACAATTCAGACTGTGTGCTTGATTTTAAAGGCAATGTTGGTTGATAGTGTGATAATATTATTCTCTTTCATTGGGTTCCCGAAATGCACGTTTAAAGATGCATTGTAAACCCAGTTTAATGCAGCTTCTTTCTCAAAAATCGTTCAATCTCTCTGCAACTGCAAATAGCGGTAATGATGACAGGTGCGGCTTTGGATATTGAGCCGCTTAAATTGGACATGGTCGGTAACACAAGGTGTGATAGCGCTTGGGGTTTTTCTGCGAGGAGAGGAGCAGAAGGGGACGGGGGGATGCTGCGTGCTCTTCGCTCCTCTGCCAAAACAACCGTGTCTTCTGTGGAAAGAAAGCTAGGTGGAAGTGTTGAGTCAAGCTGGATCGCACAATACCTATTTTATTCAGGCCTAATTGCCGCTGAAGGTGCAGGAAGATCAGCTTCGCGACCGTTAACGCTTTAAAGTAAAACACTGGAGTTTTACCCCCATGCTGACTTATTTTCAATAGCATTTTTAAACATTAATCATGCATTTCATGGTAAATCGCTAACATTTTTTTTACTGTACGTCAACACACAGCTTGACTGGGAACGGCTTGTCATTCAAGCCCGTGGCGACGTTTAGGGTTTTTATAGCCGGTGAACATGCTGAACATGTTGTAAGGGAGGCAAACCGCATGGACGGTGAATGACCGCCGTAACGAGGGACACCTGCACGGAAAGGCTTGTTTGGACGACTGTCACACTTGTAATGGTGGCACACAAATGCTGTCATCCGGTTCATGACACCGGTACGGGGGTCTTCCACCAGAACTTATCTGAACTCGTCTCCAGTGAACAAAGTAAGGACACTAAGATTGCTACAGTGTTCCCATACACGACGGGATTTTGATCACGAATTGCTTTTTACATGAACTAATAAAGTTTTGGTTTTACAGCCGCTTTTAGTTGGTTATAGACGTACTGAACAAACTTAGTCTTGTCAGGTAAGTTTGTTCGTGAGCTGATGTCCATTATATTTAGCTATTTGCTTTGAGTTTCTCTTTTTTGCTATTTAAAGGGCCCTGTTCAACCATTGCTTTCCTACCCTTTGGACGCTATCCTGTGTTACCGTGAAGGTAATAACGCTCCAGTCCCTTAAACAATGATTTTGTGGAAGTGCGCAGAGCAGCTTGGTGAAATGTTCATGCTATTTTAAAATCTACTGCTGCCTTTTATCGTATTCTAAATACAAATTTCCTTGTGCTTTTCATTGATCGTCCCAAACATGACGATGGGATGTTGAACTGAGGGCATCTACAGGAAAATCGTTGCGCATTACGCCATCACGCCGGAGATTACGGCTTGCATATTGCTCGGATAGTGTTCTAGCGCTGATGGTGACCGCAGAATAGAGATAGAGGGACACAGACCAGAAACACCCTTCTCGGTTTGCCTGTGTTATTTTTAACTAGAGGGAGACTGGACTTCCGTACCGCAGTGGTTGGGATTATCCTGCGCTGCCAATCACAGACAGGTTTAGACCACTTCCTATAGCGTTAAACCAGGCAATGATTGACAGTGTACGATAACTTCAAAACAAAAAAAGATCCCTTTTCTTTGAATTTCTTTAGCTCCCACCTGAAGGCTGATATCGATCCCACTGGATGCACATTTTTTAGACCTTCAACACGACTCAAAAATGAAAGATTATATATAGCAAAAATGTGATATATGGGATAGGCCTATTTACGTTTTTAACGCGCTCGATTTGTTGCAGTTCTTTTACAGAGGGTTTTTAAAATCGGTTTACAGAAACTCAGAAAGTGGAAATAGACGCAATAACATAGTATGTATATTTGTGATAGAGTCAATATAGGCTACGTATTGCAGCCTGTTAGAGTTTATTAAACCTCTGTCTTAGTGGAGTAGCGTATTAGTTTTCTGCTGTGTAAACAATTTTACATTTGTTTATGAGACTGCCTTATCTAAAATAATTTTCCATAAATACATATGGACCTTTTTAAAATGTAAGATGTTTTTATTTCATTTATAATGTTCAGAATAAGTACCTTATTCAAACATCATCCCAAAGCCATTTCTGAGCTAAGAAATTATTGCAACATTTAACTCCTAAACTGCCCGATTACTCCAGAATATGGAAATTCCCTACACTCTCAGAAGAACCGGTAAACATTTGTACCTTTGCTTGTCATTGGGGCTGTACCCTCAAGGGTCTGCCAATTGTACCCTTAGCTGTAGGTGATTGTACCTTTTTATTGAGGAACATTAATCTGTACCCTTGATGGTATATTAATGCTGTTTGTACCTTTGAGATGTTTCTCAGTCAATTTCTGTACCTTAGAAGGTACAATTACAAGGGTCCAGCCCCACTGACAAGCAAAGGTACAAATCTTTACCCTTTTTTCTGAGATTGTACTTACGAAACACTGCCATTCATACACATTCTCCGTAACCAAATAACGTCAGGCATGAATCTTTTCCAATTGCTATTCTGTGTTCCTTCCCTTTTATTAGAAGCAGCGAGATCTCTGGTCTCATTCAACCCGAGATTTGATAAGACAGTAGGATCGATATGCCTCTGCCGGCCTCCTCAGTGGGCCTGGTTGGCTCGCCTCCTCTCCAGAATGACCTTTACCTTGCTCTTTTGTTGCCATCCAGCCCACAGTGACTGTTCCAGCTCACACTGCTGGGTAGAGCAGGGGATTGTGGGTACTGAGGGTGGGGCAGGAATCAGATGCCGTTTCCTTCTGTCTGGATAGCTATCCCAACTATCCCTGTATGACCATAGACCCATATGGGAAGCTGTTGTGCGGAATCACTGGCCAGGATGTGAACGCACAGTGTCTGTTTATTTCATGTCTCCCTTGTGCTTGTTGCTCACGGGAGAAATATTAGATGGGATTTGTAGCCTTGCATTGCATCGCTGTGAGGTATGGATTCACACTTGACAACTCCCCTCCATCCATCCAACGCCCCCCTTCCCCCCACCACAGTAATCAATAGATCCAGCGGGGTAAGGAGTGCACTTGCAGTGGAGGATATCCACAGGAAGCCAAGTGGGGTGAGGCATTAAAAGTCATGCCCCCCTACCACCCCCCACTGTTTGCTGATGTGGGGGGGGGGGGGGGGGGGGATTTGAAAAACTTAATAATAGATGATCCAGATTTCTTTCTAAAGCACAGATTTGAAGCTTTGTGTAGAAATGAAGTTACCCTTTATTTGCCATTGCGCTAGAACAGGTACACCGAGAAGCTTTTCACATATCCCATCATGCTCTCCTTTGAGATACATACATATATATTGTTGATAGTCAGGTCCGAGCGCAGGGCCAGCTATTTAATTGGTGCCACTGGGCCATTTCTGGGGGTCCACCAGAGATGTGACTGTGGTGCTGAGACTCACACTGGTGAGCTTCCGATCACAGGCCTAACTTGCTGATTTCCGATCACAGGCCTAACTTGTTGATGCTCACCTGGGGACAACTGATTGGGGAAATCGTACCCTACAGCACGTGTGAAGAAGCTGACATGCATGGAATTAGCCTGCACAAACACAATGCCAGACCAAAGTGGTTAAGATTTGAATCCAGAATCCTTGAACTGTAGGGTAACAGTGGTGCCCCCAGCTGAAGAATGAGAAAATTGCAGTGCCTGGTGACTTAGAGTCATGACTACTGAAGATGGAGGGCTGTCACCATGGTGCAGGGCACTTAGCACCTGTAAAGCACAAAAGTTAATATTAATCAGTTTGGGCAAATCGGGCCACACACCCGCAGGTTTTCGGGATAACTTTTAGGTCGGCTATTAAAGCCCAGGTGTGAGGACTGTTCAGCCAATCAGTCTTATAATCAGGAATCTAACTTGGGAGTTGCAGCGAAAACCCGTCACAAACAGCGGCCCCTTCTGGATAAGATTGGCCACCCATGCTCTAATCGAAGGGCCACTGCAGTCTGTCTCCATTCTAGCCACTACCTCTCTTTCCTCTAATCGTGAAAAAATGATAATGTACGAGTTTCATCTGTACAATATCAACGTTTCCTGTCCTGTGACCTTGCAGTTCATGCGTGATCTATTTTTAGGGATATTACGCTGGATGTTAATGTTTCTTAATCACGAATGGGGTATTTGAATAAAAGATAAATGTGGGCTTAATTACCCGAGCATTAGCGTAAAGAAGGCCATTTGACTGGGCTCGTCACAGACGCCTGACCTTAAGCCAATCTGAAGTAAATTGTCAGATTTTCCCAAACCATTATTAAGGTTCTGTAATGCGTGCAACACAGAGCCTAATTTTGGGTGCCCTTTATCAGACCACCATAAAATGCACATAAAGGACCTTGGGGGAAACTGTGTAGGTAATCCCAATCGTTGATTGTACCACATTGTAATTACAGGAAAATTCATGGTACTCAGCAAGGTATAATTGTTCCAATAAACAATTAACCGCATACATGAAGAAAACAATCATTTAAATAACTGTATGCATAAGATTCTGTGCATAAGTACCTCTGTTAGGTCATTAAATGCTGTACATATTTTGTATAACTCATATTATGCCTTCTGAATAGGCAGAAAAAAATATTATCCGTGTTCCTGGTTTTACGAGTTAATTTCATCTGCACCCTGACTATAGTAATTTTATTGATGTAATCTTTTCTCTTCCCTGCTGCCCGTCTCTCACTTATCTTTGCAAATTGTTTAATGTAATTTTTTTCTCTCTTGTTTAAAGAGATGTAAGGGTATGGAGCAGGTCCTGTGCTCATTCAAAACCTTCAGTGAGTCGTTTTGAATTAGTGCCGATGTATACTTCCCCATCTATTAAGGGCGACCGGGAGCGGTATTATGTGTGGGTGTCATGATTTTTTTTTTTTTTCCGTTTCTGTCTCCCTGCTCACATATAAACCCAGTGATTGGAAATGTCGAGACTGGAAAGAGCAGAAGGGGTACGTAAATCAGGGAGTTCAGGTGTGTGGGTCT